ACTGCTTAAGGCCATATAATGCTTTCCTCAGTTTACATACTTTCCCATCAAAGCCATAACCTGGTGGAGGATCCATAAATACCTATTCACGTAGATCACCATTTAGAAAAGCGTTCTTCACATCCAACTGATGTAGCTCCCATGAGAAATTTGCAGCTAATGACAATAAGACCCGGATTGTGTTGAGCTTCGCGACTGGAGCAAAGCTCTCTTTGTAGTCAATCCCTTCCTTTTGAGTAAACTCCTTTGCCACAAGTCAGGCTTGTATCTTTCAATGGACCTGTCCCCCCTATGCTTTACAGTGAACACCCACTTGCATCCCACAATGCTCTTCCCTTCTAGTAGATCCACTAATTCCCAAGTCCTTGCTTTCATTAAGGCTTTCATTTCTTCATTCATAGCCTCTTTCCATCTTGGATTAGACACTGCCTCTGAGTACCTAGTAGGAACATGCACAGAGGAGAGAGCAAACACAAAGGAATAATAACGAGGAGATAAACGTGAATAAAAACAAATTCAGCAATGGGGTGTCGGGTAGTACAAGAACGGGTATACTTACGAAGAGCAATAGGGAGATCCAAATCAGAAGTATGAGTGATAGGATTACCTGGAGCTGCTGAGGCAGATTGATCCGAGTCCGATTGATTGCTGCCATGAGTTAGAGGGGCTTTTTTCCTTTTGTTGTAGGTGATTCATATATCTTTTTGTTGCTTACTGGTGTCCTTAGTTACATCTGCAGCAACAAGAGTGGTAATAGGTGCAATGGAAGGCCCGAGGCAGAAAGAGGCACAAAAAAGGAGGAGAAAGAAGAATGAAAATAGGAGTGAGACTCAAAAAATACCACATCTTTTGTGACGCATTTCTTCTTGGTGACGGGATCATAACACTTGTAACCTTTCTGTGTAAGAGAGTACCCAAGAAAGATTCCTTTCGTAGCCCTAGGATCCAACTTGGTCTTCTTTGGATCCTTTACATGTATAAAACATACACAACCAAAGACTCTAGGTGGAAGAGGAAAGTCAGGAAGATTAGGGCAAAGGACAGAGAAAGGAGTTTTCATACCCAACACCTTGGATGGCATCCGATTTATCAGATATGATGCAGTAAGGACTGCTTGAGACCAGTAGTGCTTGGGAACCTTGTGCGGAAATAATAAAGCTCGAGCGGTCTCCAATAAGTGTCTATTTTTGCACACAGCAACCCCATTCTGTTGAGGAGTACTAGCACAAGATGACTGATGTAGCATGCCAGCATCTTCCATGAACAGGTTCAAGGATCTTTCAAAATATTCAGCAGCATTGTTTGAACGGAATTGCTTAATCTTCTTGTCAAGTTGAGTTTCAATCATTTTACAAAATGCCATGGTTATCCGTGGCACTTCATCACATCCGTTTAACAAGTAGATCCATGTGCATCGTGAGTAGTGATCAATAAAACTGATAAAGTAACGAAAGCCATCCACAGAAACAAGGGATGAAGAGCCCCAAACATCATAATGGACCAAATCAAAAGGAGCTTGAATTTCATTACTAGAAATTGGATAAAGAGTTCTACATTGTTTTGACAACTGACACACTTCACAAACTAAACTTTGACTCGAAATACCCTTGAATAATTCAGGAAACAACCCTTGCAATGATGAAAAAGGTAAATGACCTAGCCTAGCATGCCACAAGTGTAACCTAGCTATTGACTCCTCATTATTCTGACTACTGGTAGCAGACGATTGTAAGGCCAAACTTATGTCTGCATCAAAATAGTAGAGACCTCCACACTCATGACCGCTCCCAATCGTTCTCTTCGGCAATCTGTCCTGAAAGACACAATGAGTAGGAAAGAAAGTTACGCTATAGTTTAAATTCTTGGTAAGCTTCAAAACAGATAAGAGATTGGAAGTAAGATTTGGAACATGTAGAAAAGATTTAAGAGAGAGGTTCTTGCTTAGGTCAACCCCCCCTTCCTAGAGATGGTGGAGAGGGAACCGTCAGCAACTCTCATCTTATCTTGGCCAGACATCAATTGGTAAGAAGAAAATAAAGAGGACATGTGTGTAATGTGGTCAGTTGCACCGGAATCAATAATCCAAGAAGTAGAGTCTATAGAACTAGTTGTGCTATAAGCAGAGACAATACCTGATYTGGCAAGAGAGGTGGAAGYAAGGGAATTAGTCCTTRGACGGGTTAGGGCCCGGCTAAGGACCTCTACCTCATCAACAATGAAACCCAAGGACCTAGATGTGGAGGAATTAGTAGTCTGCCCCATGGGAGAAGATGCAACTGTAGATGTGTTCTTCGAGCTATCACCACTGTGACTAGTAACATGGTTCCCAATATTTGAGACCTTATGCTCTCATACATTGGGTCTAAACTAGCCAAGAACTTAAAGGCTCTACCCTCTACAATTTGTTTGCCATGCCTCTCCTTGTCTTTTGCATTCTCCCAATCAAGAATAAGATGATGATCAAGTTCTTCCCATAGTCCTTCTAGGGTTGCAAAATACGTTGCAACTGTCATATCTCCTTGTCTCAATGCAGCAATGTCTTGGTTCAGCCTATAAATTTTGGCATTGTTCTTTCTCTGTCCATAAGTTTTAGAGACTTTCTCCCAAATCTTAGCACCAGTAGGAAAGTGTTGAACAATCCTGGCCACTCTTGGAGTCATCGAAGCAAGCAGCCAGGACATAATAGTAGCATTTTCCTTACGCCATACTGCATACTCCGCACTACCCACTACAGGTTCCTTCTTCTTTCCATCTAAATAACCCGTGAGTTCCCGGGAAGTAATGAAGAGCATGGCTAAAACAGACCATTCTCTGAAGTTATATTCATCCAACAATACACTAGTGATCTGCAAGCTGTGCAGATTTGGATTTTCCAAATTAGGAGACCTGCCACCAGTTCTATTATACCTAGAAGACACTTCTCCCGATATTGAAGACATCTCCTTCCTCTTACAGTGACCACAATTGAAAACTCAGTACAAAGAACACTATTTCAGACATACCGAAGCTGTTGTAGGTCAGAGAACCCCTTGTAACAGGTCTGAAACCAAGAACAATTCGCCTCTGTACTGTGTTGAACTCTTCTAGACTAGACTAGGCTTTGATTTCTGCTATCGTAGACTGGGATCACCCTTACGATCTGTACTACGACTGTCGAAGTCAGTCCTTCCACCTAGATCTGTTCCACACAGATCTCTCTTAGCAGCCGAATGGCTACTACCTGCTGCAAGGTGTCTAGTAGGGCATCGGTTTCTGGAACAAACTCCCCTTGGACCCTACAACCAAGGGAAACCCTAGATACAGACCTTGCTGTGTTCTACGGTCAGCCCTNAAATATAGAATGGTATTTTATGAAATGATAAAAGAAGCATAGGCACACCTTTTTAAATTATTATCTTATTCTAAATCATTAAACAAAGCTAAGAAACTAAGGTTATAGACAAAAGAATATGTTCTAAAGTTTCCCTATAGACCTTAAGATTTAGATCTTCATGATAGAATGAGTTAAAGCAAAATTTAAACTCAAAGAAAATGCAAACGGTTATAATAGATTAATCAATTAATCTATTACACAAACAAAAAACTAATATTTAACTTCATATTTGAAATGAATAATGAGTTAGCTCAAAGTGGTAATTAAATAAGTTAGGTGGACAATAACTTGCTACTTCGCATACCTACAATATTGTCACCAACATATGTTATAATACAATCTCTTATACTTCACATGGTATTGGTAGTGTTCAATGGAAGATATGTCAATTCCAATAAAATTTCTTGTTAACCATGGAAGTATGTTATCGAAACTATCTCTTGTACACCGCATAGTGTTGGTAGTGTTCATTGGGAAAATGTCGATTCCAGTAAAATTTTGTGTCGCTACCCATGGAAATGGAAATATGTCGTGGAAATATTAGGGAAATTAGGGAAAAGCATGACTTTAAATACTTTTCTTCTTTTTGACTTATCTTGTAAAGTATTTCTCGGTAATTAGTTAATTGGTTACTGCTAACTGCCAAAAAAAATCCATGCCACTGATGGATTAAAAATTCAGAAAAATCAATTTAAATATGCATGTAACGTTTTTTTTTTATATCTTTGGAAGGGCTACATAACAGGGGGTAGCCCATCCCCCAACCCATAGCCTCCCCAACCAAGGTGCAGGCAGGATTCGTTCCCAAGTCTCCGCTACAGCCAGCAGGAGACCATACCAGCCCACTAGTTGGCACCTTAATATACATGTTGTTTGCTGGAACACAGCAGCCAAAGAAGAAGAAGAAGAAGAAGAAGAAAAAGAAGAAGAAGAGAAGAAGTTTTGAGAAAGTCGGCATACTCACTTCAGCTGGTCCTACAAGCTTATATAGATGATTATAAAATAATGTTACATGAATGGACTAGAATGCCCCTGATTAGTGATGGGACACCTAGACAAATAAAACAAATAAAACATTAAACAAGTTTAGGCCCAATAACTAAGAACTTAAGACACAAATATGACTAACATAAACACTAAAAACAGTCGAACCAACACATGTAAACTTTTTAGTACATCATTTCTAATTCATTGACAAATCAATAAAAAATAGAAATATCAATTCAATTCTATATTCTCTATGATTTACGATACAATTATAATTTTTCAGAAAATTGGTATTTCAACATTTATAAAAAAAGACTCATCTTGCACCTGCATTTAGTTGGAGTTTTGGGTGTAGAGGTAGTAAAATATAACATATAAATGGTATATGTTTATTAAATAAAGATTTTAAATACAAGAAATGTATAGAAATGATATATTTTTATAAAAGTTGAATCTAGAAAGCATTATATATACAAATCACATATTTGTGTATGCAAGATTAAACACTATAAGCTAGACAAAACTCTCCTCGGAGCACAGGAGTACTTAAGAGCACTAGAGTGCATTCCACCAATTGATCGTACCTCACCACCAGTTTGAAAGATCCAAGAGAAATTGCCAGTCATAAAATCAAGAAAATAGATTTTCCCTTTGTAGCATCCAACTGCAATCTGCAAAGAGAATAAACTGAGTTGCATTCTTTTCAAAATCAAATTGCACATGGATTAATATAATGCAATGAAAACAAATGAGGAACCTGAGTAAAATCACCAACAATTACTGCTGAGCATTCAACCCTTCCTTCTAATTTGACCTTCCATTGGACAGAACCACTGATTCAATTCAATATAACCAACCTTGTTATGAAATTTTTAATCAAATCTGTAAAAAAATATTTTAGAAGATCATGAATATATATAACAAAATCTTAACTATGTTAGATATTCTAAATGCAGATGGTACCATCATGGTGCTTGAAACAGAACAGCAGTCAACTTCTGAGAATTAAACTCATTAATAATGCTGAACATGCTTACTTCCTTGCAAAACACACAATTAATTGTTTTTTACAAATTAATCATTTAATGTATTACTTGCTTATCACATGACCATTTTTTAAATTTATGCATACTATCTTCACCAAGTGACATGCAAATCCTATCTCTAACATTTCAATATTATTAGATATTGTAAACCTAGACAGATAGATATGCCCTAAGTTTAAACAGTTAGCTTAATTTTAAAGGTAAACAAAATATTTTTTTAAAACAAAGAACAAAGTACAAGGAAGGTGATAAGAAATCACCCGAGAGAAGAGATACAAGAAAGGCAATACTACAACCAACACTACACCCTTCCAACCATCACACAACCAAACAAACAAAAACCAGTAGCAACAAGCCAAAATTCTCCCACTACTAAAGCTAACAACAGCCTAGCTAGAAAGAAACTAAACAGATACCACCCACTTGAAACTCACTCAACTCCAACCCCTGAGCAACCAAAAAACCTAAACAGAACACTCTCACCAGCCCATACAGCCAAAACCAAATAGGCATCTCACAGATTACTTCGCAAATCCAGCTTCTTGAACGATCTCCTTTTTCATTCTTTTACATGCTCTCTCCGATATTTTCACATTTTTGTTAGGTGCCATCCCAAATAAACCCCCTTTCAGCCTAGAGAAAACCTTTGAACAGGAAAAAATGTGAAGAATCTGCTGACTTCTGAAGCATTTGATGACATTTGGGGCCTCCTCAACATCCTAGAAACTGAAACTGAAAACATTTTCTCTTTGTGTCTCCAAAGCTACAGTCTGCTCCCCATTGTGAGAGTGTTAATACATTTCTAAGAGGGTTAACACCCTCCCTTCAACCTCTGAGAACTTCGGTTACAGATCGTGAGTATAAAACTCGATAGAACTAATTTTTTACAGTGGTCTCAGTCCATGAAAGTGCTCATTGAGGGCAAAGGAAAAACTGGGACATATCACAAGAAAGACAGTTGAGCCAAAAGAGGATGACCCAGCTCATGATACATTGGAGGCAGAGAGCTTAATGATAATGTCCTTGCTCTTGAACTCAATGCAGCCTGACATTAGTGGTGAGTTCATGCTTTTGAAAACTGCAAAGGCAATGCAGGATGCAGCCGCAGAGCAAGTTAATATACTTTGCAAGGATATATCATCTGTCTCAAGAGATTACCCAACATAGACAGGGAGATAAAACCCTAGCATATTAATATGCTTCTCTAAAGGGAATGTGGGAAGCACTGGATTATTATGATTCTTATACTCTGGCTTGTAATACTGATGTTGTGGCATATAAGAACTAGGTTGAAAGAACTCATATTTTTTAGTTCCTTGCAAGTTTCAATCCGTAGTTAGAGTTGGTTAGAGTTGGTTAGAGTTCAAATACTAAGCAGGGACAAGCTACCTTATTTACAGCATGTTTATGCTCAAGTCCAGTTCCAGTGTGAGGAAAGTAGGAGGATGATAATGCAGCAATATGGTGTTACATCTGTTAAGAGGTCAGCTTTAATACCTACACCTTGTAAAGATAGGAAAAGAAAGAGTGAAAAGGTTGACAGGGGCAAGATGAGGTGTTCTTACTGTAGGAATGGGAAAGATTTGCATGACAAGGAACACTACTGGAAACTGCATGGCAGACCTAGTAAGTTTGGGAAGAAAAAGGTGGACTAGCCCATAGTGCATCCATTGAGACACAGTCTCACACTAGTGTCACCCTTAATGCTCCTGCTTCTAGTAATTCTAAGAGATTGATTTCCATTCCCAAAGAAGAACCACAAATGCTTTGTTTAAGAGCATATCATCTTGAGAGCCCCCTACCATGGATTCATCTACCTATTCAGGTATAACTATAAGTGCATCTACATTTCATTAATCTACTCGTTCCACATTTGAGCCATCATGGAATCTTGATTCTAGTGCATCCAATCACATGACAGGTAATATTGTTGTTTTCTCTAGTTATTCTATATGTTCTAATAGGGAGAAGGTCAGGGTTGCAAATGGATTCCTATCCTCATTTCTTGAAAATAGAATGCTCCAGTCCATCAAAACTTCTCCCTAACCTCTGTGTTACATGTCCCTAATCCTGCCATTAATCATCTTTCCATCAGTAATATTACAAAAAGTTTGAATTGTAGCATAACTTTCTTTCCTCATTTTTGTGTCCTATAGGACCAAACTTTGAAGAGGGTGATTGAGAGTGGTCATGAATCTAATGCAGTGTTTTAAAAGCGCAAGGGCCAATTTGCACCTGAAGTGCAAGGCACAAAATTACAAAAAGAAAAGCTAAAAATCAAAAAAAAAATTCAGAAAATTCAAAAAAATGCCAAAAAATTAAAAAAATGCAGAAAATATCAAAAAATATTAAACATAATGTTAATAAAAAATATAAACTTAAATTTTAAAATAAATGTTTTAAAAAACCTATTATCTAAAATTAAAATACATAAACATAACATGTAAAGCGTATTCAAATGAAAATTTAAAAATAAAAGCAAACATATAAACCATTTTCAAGCATGTAAAATCCACAATCTCTTTTTTTCCTTAATTGCATTGCTTGAAGTAGCTAATGTGATGTAAAACATATTGCATTCTTGATTCTATGAGTTGCCTTTGTACCACACCCCTCGAGGCAAGCATGAACAAGTCTATGCCAGGGTCTGAAATTCTTATTTCTCACATAAAAAATAATGATTTTATAGCTTTCATTGCCTTTTAAGAAGATATTTTATTGCAATGAATGAATGAACAACATTAGCAAATGAGGGATCCTCAGAGCTCCCAAGGTGGTAGTTCACACCCAATATCAGTCCTAAAACCGGCCTCCTACTGAAGATGGCAGTGCACAGAGAACTGATTCAGCAACACTTGAGTGGGGAAATTGAGCCTGAAATTCTTTTGAGTTTTTCTTGCAAAAATAAAGAAGAAAACTGATCAAAATCAATTCTTGAAAGCCTAGGTCATTCTAGGGTTTCTTAGGAGACAAGAGAGAAAAAAGAGAGAACAAGAAAGAGAGGTGTTTAAGTCTTGTTCGCCCTCTTCTTCTTTTATTTCCTTATGGAGCACTCTCCTAATCTAATTAGGAGATTATCCAAATCTGATTTGGATCTTGACTTTATTAAGAGATAAGCCTTATCCTCTTAAGAGGATAGGTGCTCCATAACGAATACCAAACCCAAATTCGACCCAAAGCAAGTTGTCATGTGACAACTTAATTAATCTTATTAATATTGGGCCTTAGGCCCATTTTTTTCAAAGGCTCACGACCCTAGGTGTTGCATAGCCACTTTAGGCCTGATATTGTATGGTGTGGGAGCCCATAAAGGTCTCTCTCAAGTCCATAAGAGTCCGGCCCCACCTTTGTAAGAGACTAAGCCAAATTCACTGTTCAGAGTAGTGAACCCCTGAGCCAATTAGCATGGGCTTAGTCTGGGCCCAACATTTACACATAAATGATCCTTGGATTCAGCCACCCTAAGAAGACCCAAGGATAATGGACTTAAGTGAGATAAAGACCATCAGGTAATCAGCCCAGTAATGGTCTCTTACACTTAACCTCTCGACCCATAATGATTAAAACACTACCTGACAAGGAAGTACCTCTCCCTTGGCTACAAGGTGCAGTGTCACACTCTCTATTCAGATGGATCCCAGGATTAAAACCTTTTGCAAACCATTTTCCTAAAATAATAGTATATAACATATAAATACATTTTGCAAAAACAGATTTCAAATACAGTTGAAATCCACTGCCGGAAGTTTAGGTTTTCATCAGAGTGTAAACCCTAATATTCGCTTCTATAGATCTCATTGATTGGCGCATCAAAGATAGCCCAGTCCAACACCTAATGCAGTACCATAATCAAGTCTGGGGTTATGTGTAACTTTCCACTTTTGCCCATCTATCTTCAAGGTCCAAGGCATAACTGGAAACAATGTTTTAAAACGCGGAGGCGTGACGCAAAGCATTCTACTACTTAGAGGTGTGATGCGAAGCGTTCCACTACCTAGAGGCGTGAGGAGTAGTTCAGAACGCAAGAGGCATAAGCCTCCTTAAGAGGAGGGGGTTAGGAGGAGGATGAAGAGGAAGGGGGATCTCATTTTTTCTTTATTTTTAATAAAAATCGTTTATATTAAGAAGAATAAATATGCATAACATTAGTTGAAAGGGGGGTCTTATCGAAGCAAAGCAAGACCCCCCTAACTCAAAAAAAAACAAATTGGGTTGCATCGAAAAGGGGGCGGGGGGATCTGGGGGGCGAAGCCCCCAGCCGAAGGGACAGGGAGCAAACCACTTTCTTTCCCCTTATCTTTTCTTCTCTTCCCTTTCCTTTCCTTTTCTCTTTTTTTCTTCTCTTTCTTTTTCTTTCCCTTCCCTTTCTTTTCCTTTCCCTTCCTTTCCTTTTATTTCTTTTTTCTTTTTTTTTGTCTTTTTATATTAGATGTGCATGAGACGCACGAGGCGTATGCCTCTAGCACGCCTCATGAAAAAAGCACATGAGGCATACGCCTCTTGCACCTAAGGCGTACGCCTCTTGCACCTAAGGCATACGCCTCAGAGGTGTTAGCGCCTCTAGCATACGCCTCAAGGCATTTTGGATGCCTCCAGGAGTACGCCTCCCACGCCTTTTAAAACACTGACTGGAAATTGGTCTGGGTTCAGTGTTTCTTCCCAACACACACTGCCTGTGCTTGGGGTCTAACCCTAGCAGCTAAGACAAGCTTCTCCAACTGTTTGGCAGCACATCAATGTCAACATTGGCAAGATAAACTCCCCAAATCTATCCAACAGCCGAGAAC